TTGCAGGACCATTGCTACTACTAAGATGTGGCTTTTTGCGCTCAGAGATGACTCTATCCTCAAGGTTATGGATAGTAGAGAGAAAGTGTACAGCACTGTTGTCTTGCCATTGAACTGCCAGAACAGTACCATTTGGACAGGCTGAACCTCCAGAAACCTCATTCCATGGTATGTTGGAGCGTTTATCGTCCAGGTGGGGGGGATATACTTTCTTGTTCACTTATGCGGTTCCACAGGCACCTAATCCTACCTCCCGTAGCCTCTCTAACAGGGCAGTAGATGGGAAATAGTTATCCATATATATGTTGAAGTGAAGGCTGGAGGTATACGGTAAGGCTGCTGCTAGCTGAAATACTGCTGACCCAGTAGGAGTAAGCCCTTCCTGAGGAATGAGCTCAGCAAATGATTCAGACCGGGAAGTGAATATCCAGTTATAGGTGTAGCCTAGATCACACAGTGCAAACACCTTATAACCTTCCTTAATCGGCTTACTTGGCATTCGATAAGTGTGATGGCTACGACCACCAAAGTGTATCATCATCTTATCTACCGTGACATTGGAGGAAGGAAGATAGTATTGCTGGCATCTCTTCCGAATTAGGCTATTTAATGGCTCTAATTTGTGATGCCAATGGGATCGAGACAAGGTTTCCTTTGGATTTGAGATATGGAGATAGCGTTTTATCTGACTAAAGTGCTTGAGCGACATCGTTCGAAGAATCGAATCTCCTCCCCTATACCTCCAAAACCCCTGACTTCCCATACCCCTCCGGGCCCCCATATAGATTAAGAGTGCAAGGAATACTCTTATCTCATTTCCGGTAACTCTTTTCCATCGCCGTTGGGTTTCTGCTCCTGCTTCTTTCTCTTCTGCCCACGTATTGGTTCCGACTACAAGCAGCTCAATGGCCTCCGCATCCCAAAATAGCTCAAAGATTTGAACTACTGTGATATCAGAACCTTCCCAGGGTAACAGTGGCTCACCCTTGTGGTCTATTCAGGGACCAAGAGGGGTATAGGGGGTGTGAGCAATTTGTTCATTTATACTCGGCTTGCTCGCTGCACTCTGCTTCTTTGTCGGTTTCTTTGGTATACTCGACTTCTTTGGCAATTGGGAATTGGCGGAACTGGGCATTAAAGGTGCTTGTACTTGCTTTGTGTTTGGCATCGTATATGTATCTCAAGACCGGCCACAAGAGTTGAGGTTGTTGTACAACCACACTGTTGCACCCATTCTAGAAAAGCGTCATCCCTACTAGGAAATGATGTGCCTTTGACGATTTTTGACTGTCTCAGACCGCCCAAGGGATAGCCCCGTCGGGGACGAAGTTTTATGATATGACACCCCTAGCTGTATCATAGATTAGTAATTTAGCATTCACTACAATAGCTCCTCGATCGTTTCTAGGCCCCCAATGATGACGTCTATGAAGCTGCGAAATAGACATGTGTGGTTCCACTGAGGAGGCTGGCATTCCCTCTAAATTTACTCGTACTTCTAAATTTATTCGTACTCCCGCGGCCGAGTTGAGTTTAGACACCTAAGGTAGCAATTCCGATAGTCTAGAAAGTGTCTAACATCAACTCGGCCGCGGGAGCACTAAGAGAGCTTTGGAAAATCCAGTAAATACCCAATTGGGAATTTATAGGTGGCATGGATACTGGCCTGGTGGTATCGTAAGAACCAGGACAGCTGAACCTCACGCTAAAAAAATTTAGTTTCCTCTCCTACTGTGTATCTTTCATTTATCTTAGTAGAAGGCTAAATGTCTCTTTTCACGGGTGATTCCCTCCCTTTACCTAAAGAGAGGGATTCTAACTTAGAAGCTCCTTAATGTGGGGATTAATTCTTCCGGTTCCTGCGGTATTGTATTTTGGGGCATTTTGACCTCGATGGTTGGGATACATTATCTGTCTGGGACTATATTAGTCTCCTAACCCACTGGCACCAAAAAGAATTTATACTTGTTTCATACGTCCTGATCGATCTTCTTTCTAATACATTACACGAGTATATCTGGGGCTCTTTGGGTAGGGGAATATTACCCCCGCAGTTCTGCAATCAGAAGCAGCAGATTTTCCCAGAATATATATCGGTACCAACAACCCTGAACAAGAAGTCTATTCCTCAATAAAGAATTGACCGGCTTGGTGATGGATAAGTAATCTTAATTGCTACCGGTAGCCTGTATGGTACAGCGGTTGGCCTAAAGGCACTGTGTCGTCTAACTGGGACGTATTTGACAGTGGTTGTGTGGTTTTTCCTGTTATGGGAGTTTGGGGGCCAGTGCAAGAGTGGGTATTTCCCTGAACGTTCTCTACACGCACCGCCTCTTAGCATTTACGCCATTCTGTATATATAGCTGTCCATCTCCCAGCGTAGAGCCACACGCCCTTCTCCTTTTTCCGAGCTGTTCAAGTTCACCCACAACGCACTATTTCTCTTGTACTTCCGATAATATCGCCATCGCTAGTTAGTTGGTATTGTTCCTGCGGATTGGGCTAATGTTTCCCTCGAGCTCCTGGCTCTAGATAGCATACTGCTGGTAATGCAAATAGCTACATCCAAGATTGTGGCACTGATAACTGTAGTTAAAGCTGAAAGTTGGGGAGGTCTTGTGGCCAGGCGGAAATAGGTTGCTTTACGTAGGGTACTTTACAGTGCATGATGCTGCTAAGTATCAATACTTACCGGAGCATTCCGGGTACAATATGGCTAATAAATCTTATCTCCGATTACCAACTAAACAATCTAGGATGTTTTAATTGACATAGTAGCGAATCAGAGGGTTAGCCGCGCTATAACTAGTTCGTTGCTAACATCCTTTACTCGAGCATTGCTATTATTCGCCTTTCCCATACTGGGATTCCGGCCGAGTAAACGGCGAGCAACGGGCGCTCTACAATGACAGGTGAGCTCCCGTATGCACCATATGGCCCAGGGACCGTGCGAAGCTCTATCGCGGGAACGGAAAACCACTTATAGCATTAGTAGCTGTCCTTGCTCATAGTTGACTGGCCGGGTGACCGTTTTCGCTCAGGAAATCATTTCCGTGCGCCTTTTCGAGCCGGTTCGCAAGGAACCATATAGTATACCGCCACGTCCGTAAAGCCGTCACCCCCTCCCTTGTTCCTTGAGGGCAGCTCAGTACCGATTAGTAGCGACAGGATAGTAAGAGTCTTTCAAGCAACCGTTTTCGGATATTCCCCTAGAGGCATTGTGAACCTTAACGTTGTCACAATTTGTTGTACAGTACAGTACTGAATAGTGGAGAGAGAGGGCTACAATATCAAAGCGTTCACAAGGGCTAGTGTAATACTACTTGGAAGGGTATGGAAACTTTATGGACACGCCTGTAGAAACCAATAGAGACTTATTGCTTAACCCCCCTCCTGTCCGGGTAACTCTTAGCACACCCAAAATCCTCTCCGTGCATCCCCCTTGTCTATTTTGAGGGTGCGGTATAATGTAAATACTGATGGGGAGGTGCTGGAGCAAGGCTCGAAGCAGCGGGTGCGAAACATCAAGTGGCTATACTCGAGTAGAAAGTACGACATCAAGCGTTAGACTAGTGGCGCTAAGGAAACCCCACCAACGCTCCTTTGGGATCAATCTTGCGATACGACACCCGCTAGTGCCAGTAGTAAGTTAGCTATCATACCGATCTCTGCTTGACCGGAATTCTTGAAACGGAAATTCCGGAGCGGTTTAGTGGCGCCTTTGTACGAGTACAGTACTCCAATCTGGACCGCGCATTCCTCCCATGCAGTGTAATGCGCATGCTCATGTGACGTACAGGAAAATACTTTACTTAGCCGAGTGCTAACGCTTGGGCCGGGCCGGTATTTTGGTCCTACTCCCGCCGCCGGACACCTCAATTCGATCATCCGGGAGTACCAGTAACCGTAGGTATATGAGAAAGCAGCCAAACTAGGTGAAGGGTAACAAGTGGCAAAGTGGGTATGGTATGCACTCGAGCACCATACCGAGGAAGAAGGAAATCCCTCGAACAATTTGGAGGAATATAGTAATTGGTCTAAATATCCTTGATCCCCGTACTTCCTAAACATCAGAGTGCGCTTACGCTGGCACTGCTAGTAGATATCCTGGGATATATCACCTCTACCGATAGTACCACTGAACACACCAATAACTAATTGTCTACCGTTCCTGGACTACTCGTACGAGCTCCCCGACAGAGAATAAGGGATTATTAATTGGAAATAACTACTATGTCCAACTAGATGGAAGGCCCAGCGTCCATGGATCTACCTGGATTGGTTGGTTCGTTGTAGTTGTGCTTGGTTGTTAAAACAGCTACTACAGGGGGTATTTACTTGAGCTGGGGTGGAAACGTGGGTGAATTGATGCGTGCAGCAGCATGCATGGGCTCTCAATGTTGCAATTGGCGAACTCCTATATCTATTCCTGGGACTGTGAAACACAGAAGGATTCGTTATCTTGGTCTGACCCCCCCCCCCCCCCCGCCTTGTGCTCCCCCGAAAGGGCGGATGGTAGCATGGATAGAGATGGCCAGACCCTGGTTATCATCCTATTCCTTGTTACGGCACCCGGGGGAGAGGAGCGAGCCTATCATAGTTGGGCTCAGGGGGGTGGGATGGATACTCACGATTCGTTTACATCTGTGGCGGCCGTGGAGATGTCATAGGTGGGTTCTGAATGTGTGGGTGAGTAATGTAAATGTATGCAAGAAGTGTACTGGTACCTGGTACAGTACAGCACTCTCTCACGACCCTTACTTCAATTGGAATTCCTCGCAACCGGTACTGTTCTCAAATAGACATCCCACCTTCCCAGTTCTATTACTACCTATCTTGAGTGCGGGCTTCTACACCCCCGGAAGGGTATTGTAATTGACTCCCCCGCCTCGAATAACCATGCTCCGTTCCCACCCCCCTTCACACATAAATAGGCATGCCCAAACACCTGCTCTTTTTATCTGCAACTCCGACTGCCTCCTTCCAAAAGAGCGATCATTATGAACTCCAGCTTCCGTATCAGTTCAGGTTTGGCTCGCCGTCTACTCCAACAATGTGGGGTATCGGCTCCGAGAAGGTTACTCCCATTCGGGGCCTCACTTGTCACTAGACATATATCATCTTCGCCGGATACGAACGTGACACCGGGGCTGACTCCCAAAGCTACTGGGAAAGCATTTGAAGGCAATGGCAAGGTTTTGCTCGGGTCCCAAAAGCGTCTTCCGGAGTTCAATCTAGTCGATAGAGTAGTGCTTATCTCTGGTGGAGCACGAGGTCTTGGACTAACGCAAGCTGAAGCTCTGCTTGAAGCTGGAGCCAAGGGTTTGTTCCTCTACTTTCCTACTACTGTACTACCACCTCCCGTATTCCTCATCTCACTAGTTATAGTTTATGCCCTCGACCGCCTTGAGAAACCATCGCCGGGGTTCTACGAAGCCCAAGCCAGAGCTACCAATAACCTTGGGACTTCCCTACACTACAGACAAATAGATGTGCGGGATGAAGCAAAACTGCACGCATCTGTCCAGGCCATCGCCGAAGAGAATGGCCGACTAGATGGCTTGATAGCAGCAGCAGGCATCAACGAAGAGCACACAGCTCTGGAATACACGGCGGCAGATTTCAACAAAATGATGGAGATCAACGTTACGGGTGCCTTCCTGACTGCGCAAGCAGCAGCTAGGCAAATGGTCAGGTTTGGTAAAGGTGGTAGTATCGTTATGATTGCGTCAATGTCCGGGACCATTGCAAATCGAGTAAGTTCAATAAAAATGCATCACTAATCACCCGGTATAATGGGACACTCGCTAATATGGAAGAATTAGGGGCTGATATGCCCTGCATATAATGCCTCAAAGTCGGCAGTTCTGCAATTGGGCCGCAATCTCGCTGCTGAATGGGGCCCTTACGGTATCAGAGTTAATACCATCTCTCCGGGCTACATTGTTACCGCGATGGTTGAAGAACTATTCACAAAGTTCCCCGAGAGGAGGGAGGATTGGCCAAAACAGAACATGCTTGGAAGGCTGAGCAAGCCACAGGAATACCGGTATTTCCTCTTCATAAATATTGACCTTGAGTGCCACCTTGTTTGTTCAACTAACTAAACGCAACGATAATAGTGGTGCCGCAGTATTCCTTCTCAGCGATGCTAGCTCATTCATGACAGGTGCGGATCTGATCATGGATGGAGGCCACCATTCGTGGTAGCCCTGATACGTCGTAAAGGGCCCCATATTTTTACCCTCTTTCTTTTCTTCTTCCTCTGTACGAGCTATGAGCGTAGGAAATTTTTTCCGCTGTTTGGCGTCTCCTTTGTCAACTAAGTTAGTTATTCATTACGAGAGGATTCAATTTTCGGGTTTATCGGTAAGCTTTCACAAGCTTATGTATTGTGATGGCATATGTGTGGTGATATTATGACGGTAGTACCCAAGCGATCAATTTTGTTTTTGGCGTTCGAATTATTACCCGTGAATCGTGATCTTCATAACACCCCTCGTGGAGGGGCTGGGGGGGGCGTCATTATCGATAGACCGATAGCTCTTGGAGCAAGGCTGTTTGGGAGTTAGAAATTGCATCCCTGCAATGACACACCCGATCTGGGGAGGTTAACATATAGGCTAAGTTAGCTCCGCGCGGGGGCTGCCAGCCAATGCAAGGGTGCCCCACATTAGTTAACAGCATTTCCACACACCGGTATCGTCCGCCTCTGCGTTTTTAACTATTTATATTTGATGCGATAAATGATATGAATACCAGTAGCTTGGTCACGGAGAAGTGTGGTATCTCCGACCTATTCCTACTGCATTAACCCTGGGACACAGCAGGATCGAGCAAGCAAAGAAACACCATAAGCCAGCATCCCTAACTGTGATGTTCCCGCTTTTCCTCGTCCATCTCGCGGCACATTAAAGCGATCCAAGCAAATCTCCTTCCCCTCGAAAGAATTGAAGGAAAAAAAAGTGAATAAAACCCTCTCTATGGAAAAAGCTCAGACCATTGCTCCTGCTCCCGGCACCAACCCCCCGGCAAGTAACATAAGTTGTGCATTCACTGTAAACACAATCCCCCCGGATGACGGTTTGCGCAGGGAGACCTACAGTACTTGAGTAGGTGGTGTTAAAACAAGTTTGTGACAAGGCTTGCCCGCCCCTTCCTTTATTCTCACATGATGGGGGTGGAAAAAAGCATGGAGTTGGACCTGGAATTGGAAGTCCTAAACGCTAGATCTAAACATGCTTTTATGCCTTCACGAGGGTACCATTTTGTAGCCGTGCACTTTGAGTAATGGGCTTCAAGACTCAGGAGAATTGGCTACCATAAGCTCTTGAAGGGACACGGTCTGGGAAGAATGACATTTGTCAGGGGTTCCACGGACTCCTAATGAGGCGACAGTATCTGGCCACACTATTGATAGCTCCAGGTTCGGTCAGAGTGCGCAAATCCTCTGATACCGGTAACTTATCACCAACTGCTACATGATTAGGAATATGGGTATGTAGGTATGATAGGTGATGGACATCCGCAGACGAAGATCTACTCGAGCGGACGCTCATTGCATGGTGCATCCCCCTCCTCCTCCTCCTCCTGCTTTGTAATGCGCTGCGATATATTAACTATAAAAAAATGAGGCGAACAATACAGATCGTATCACGAGTTGCCCTACTTGTACTAGTACTGTACAGTACCGGTCCCACCCACGCTCCTGGCAGACCTTGCGCGACATAAGGTACAATAATGAAATAAACCCACAGTGCATCATGGGTGTATCGCATCGGGTACCTGATCCCAAGGTAGGTAATTCATAGACCGATGTGCATACGTCCATTGAGAGAGAAGAGTAAAATAAAGATAAAAAAAGGAAAGGAAAAAAAAAGAATTGCCGGTATCGCAACACAGAGAAGTTAACTGTGTCATGTTGTGTGGTTGGAAGCGCCCTTCCCCTCCATCCCTTCTCCCCCCCCCCTCACTTCCCTCCTATCGCTTTGCTTGCTTGCTTGCTTCTTCCCACCCCCCTTCCTTGTTCCGTCTATGATACATGGCCATTCCGTTCAACGCTCTTGCCGCAAGGAAATTAATTTCACTGGCACTGGTAACTTATCTAGTATCGTACCGTACCCGAAGCAGCTGAAGGGAAAGAAACCCCACATAATTCCTGATCATGCTACAACTCACGAACGATGATGCGCGTTTAAAGCACTTCCCGATGGAGTTTAGTCACTATCATATGCGAGCACTTTTTTTCTTCTTCCCCAATTCAGTTCAATCGCTGGTTTAACGTACAGTACTTTCATTCCTCCTCTTGTTTTGTCGCTCGCCCTTGCTGGAATTCTGCACTTTGGCTACCGGGTCACGGAAGAAGTGTAGAGCATTGTCACAGTGCAATGTAGTGTACCCGCCGATGGGAGTCAGGCCCTGAGGGTAAGGACACAAGAGAGAAATGGAGATAAGAAGAGATAGAGGAAAACATATTGATTACTATGATACTAGTTACTGCATGCTTCCATACCGCACCTATTGTAGTACCGGCACTTCTTTTTTGACCATAAGTGAGTATTCACCTGGTTTGACAATTGCTCCGTGACTACATATTATATCTCTCTGCGTCTGTCGACGTGGGAGGACAGCCAAAACATCGACCTAACTTAATTGGAATTCATGTTACTCCTTCTCTCACATCGGAACTCTGTCTGCCCATCCGACTAGGAGTCGTGGTATTGCATCGTACGCACAGTAGACAAACTAACTTCCCGTCTAAGGCAAAATTGTGCTCGCTCCGAGCGCACATATGGTAGGTAATACGGTATCATATTTTTTTCTTTTTCACCCCCCCCGGTTTCCCCGTCCGCCCCGGAAAGTAGAGCGCCATCCCCATGCCTAAGCAGTGGCATTTGCTTCCGGGTGTATCGTATCACAAAATACTTCCGGCGCGGCGCGGAGGGGAGAGAGGAGTCGAAGCCTGATTTTCGAGCCGTCGCCGCGCCCACATAATATGCGACCCCGGCGCCGAGGAAGAAGGAAGGAAAAGTAATTGAGAGAGAGAGGGAGGGGAAAAAAGAATCCCGAATTGTTTCCCGAGTGGGGTCCGCAGAGGTGAGCATCCTAAGATATACATGTTCTCCCGAATCATAATATTATGGTACCATAACTGTACTAGTACTTGAAGTCAGCACATCAGCACATCATATCAACTGGATTGCTCGTGCACTCCCTACAAGATTGTTACAGCGCCGCAATCTGCCGCTCCAGCGATAAATTGAGTCTGGAACATGAGACGGGTCAGTGCGGTACTCAGCACGGTACCGGCAATTAGTTATCCATCCCAGGCCCCCAAGGAGCTAGCAGCGCAATCTTGCGTGCGGAAGTGATATCTGGTAGAGATTTTGCTTGGCAAGATCTTTTTTATCTTTGTTTTTTTTTTCCCTTTCTTTTGGACCTAAACTTTTTCCGGTACCGTAAAAACTCTCGGAATCTGCTGTCAGATTACTGTGTCGGCGGAGATCACCGCACTAGTCCACGATATGCTTGGTTCGACAGGTTAGCAGGGTTGCGAGCACCAGTTCATGAGATCCAACACATCCCAAAGGCATAAGTTATACCACCATGCCAGGAAAGTGCCAATCCTTCTCAGGGGCTTTTTGCTTCTGAATCTAGATATTAAAATCATATCGGAGAAAGCGAATTACAAGAGTTCTTACGATACTTAAGATGGTAAGTTAGGTACTGGCGGGATTGGCCAGGACGCTGGCAGGGACAAGCTCTCAACCAACCTGCAGGCAGGGGCTGACTTGCCCTAAGAGTGTCTATCATACCATAGTAAGTTACAGTACATTATGCCGTGTTCAAGCGCTCTTTCTTTTCCTTCCGTTCCCCCTACCGGCCCGTACTCCCCATCTCTCCCAGGCTCCCCCTAGTCGGTGAATACCGTACATTGGTTGTTCTTGAAAAGAAGAGCAGGGAGGTAGCGTATTCGCAAAGTGATTGAAGCACCGCGTAAAGGCTATCACGGCGTGACCTCCTCTCCGGCAGCCGGCAGAGATATATCATACGATATTCTAATTCTGCATGAGTCATGATGTGCATTTGACATGCTGTGCCCGGAAAGACATCAACTACATGAATACTCACCAGAAGAAGTCCTATCAGCGACAAGCTTAAGCTGCTCTTCCGGGAATCTCGGATACGGTGAAGTGTACCGTATTCGGCGACGGGTTGAATCCATGGGATATCGAAGGTTTCCCCTACGCGGCCTCAATTCCCAACCGCTACAGAGTCGTTGAGAAGGGCTTTGAAGAAATCGGACGAAACCAATCCCTTGGTCAGCAATTGAATGGGTGCGAAATGGGATGAGTTCTTTTCTTCTTCCCAATTTCCCCAGATTTTAGCTGCCCATTATCAAGTGTTGAGTGCCCCATCGTTGGAGACGTAGTGTTAAACCGGGGGAGAAAGGAAGGATGTACCAAAGTGTGGACGCTTAGGTATTAGGAGGTTTCAAAGCTCCTTACTTGCTTGAGCGATTTCCACACCTGCAGTGGCTCCATTTCTTCCTCCGAGTAGTTGAGTACCCGCAGCAACCAGGCCCCCAGAATCCCTGATTGAGGGATCATCCACGCCCGTGCACAAGTGGGGGAACCTCAGCTCCTTAGCCGAATACCCAAATTTTCTCAGGTGCACAGAATTGAGGGGGCTTAAAATGGCGATCAGGTTTTGCCAACAGTAAAGTGTGTGCGTGCTGGCTTGCATAAAGAGTGCGAGTGGGTGGTCGGAGACAACAACGCAAGTCTAGTATCTCGGCCCCCGATAGCTCAAGTTTCAAAACCCAGAATGTCACTCGAGCCAATGCCCGAGGTTAGCCCATGACCGCATCAGATGGAACTCCCACATCGCAGGGGAAAAAAGGGTAAGGGCTGAACCAATACAACGGGTATCGGGTACCACCAACTGCATGTAAGACGTGAATGAGCACTCATCTTGTTTTGCTGGTCGTGGGGGCTAACCTGAGCTCTTGAATGTGAAATACCTTATCATACCGGCGCCCTACTACCACCTTTTAAGTGCATAGATCAGCATATGCCCCCAAGCTTGAAAATCCCGTGACTTTAGATGTGGGTGGCACAAGCGTCTTAACTGATCCAACCGAACAAGAAATTTTTCGAGGTTCTCTACCGAGTTACCCAAGGATAGCGGATAATTGGACTGTGTGTTAGGTAGTCCAAAATTTCCTTCTCTGGAAAAGGGACGAAAAACACAGCAAGAGGTGAGCTGTTCAGCGCGTCTGAAAGATATAAAAACAAAAAATACTAGTCTTCACCAGAGGAGACGACTCCAACGACACAGCACACTACTCAATTATTTGAGATTCTACGATACTAGATTCCCTGTCTGGGCTGGGCCATTCCCCGGAGGGAGCACCCCACACCCTCCCCCCTACCCACGACCGACCCGTACGAGTACTCGTACAGCACTCGTACCCCAAAATATAACATCACATCCTCTTTTTTCTTTTTTTCTTCTTTCTTCAAGGTCCTACCGAAATATGGACACGCGGAACGTGCTCCAACTAGTCGCTCCCCTGCTTTCAAGGCTTTAGAAAAGAAAGAACCGGCTCCCGAATTAACAAGGGCACATGATAACTTTTCTTTTGCGCGGCAATTAAGCTACACACCAAGAGGGTCGGTTAGCCGCTGCCCTGGACCGACGACATAAGCGTAATTCAACGACGTTTGCGGATACGACCGCTATTGCATGACAGAGATCTAAGTAAAAAGGTCGAATTTTGGCGGCATGCAATAGCAGTCGCGCTCGCAAACAATTCCGGGTATCATACCGAGCACATTGATAAGTCGCAGAAATATCATGCAAAGCTTTTTTTTCTTTTTTTTCTGCTGAACTCACAGCCGTGACTGACCATTTTTGCATTGTATTGCTTCCCATCTATACTCATGGTTTCCCAATCCTATCCCCCAACCTACCGACCAAGCCAGGTGCCAATCCCAACTTTTTCTCGATGCGCTCGGCCTCCCATTTTTTCTCATCCCTAAGCTTCAGAATCTCAAATATAGTCGACGTGTCAACCCACGTACGCCTGTCTCGGCCCTGCTTACTCGAAGATTCCATCTGCTGCTGGTCATAGAGAATCTGGCGACGGGAGATTGTATGAAGTGAATTCGAGCTCTGCAATTGCCCCATTCCGTCCATCACTGTCAGTCACTCAGTTCAACAATTCAACAACAAAAACATCGCTCGAACTCTCCACCAATAATCACAACGAAAAATAAAAACAAAAGCAAAAGTAAAGTACCCCCATCACCACCCTTAGCAATTAATACAGCCTAACCCGCTCACTCACCTTTTCGTTTACAGCTATGTTTCTCGCAGGATCCAATATCTCGGCGACTCCCACCCTCTTCAGCATGCTCTGGTAGCCTGGGTCCTGGGCATCGCGTAAAATATCTACAGCTCACAAATTAGCCATGTTTTCTCCTTCCGTCTCCTAAGCACAACCAACAAGAGCAACTCCAAGAATCAATGGACACTGCTTTTGAGTCGGTGCCGTGTCACACATACCTTGAGTTTTGTTGTAACTGGCCTGCACCGGGTCCTGCGGGTGGCAGGAAGGTGGTTCTGCGACTTGCGGTTCTCGAGTGGGGTATTTTCGAGTGCTTGAGGCACCTAGTAGTCTTGAAGCTTTGGTTCCCATGGCTGTTGGGTTTGGGGGAAACGTTGTTGAAACAGTGTCTAATCGACGTCATCGATGGTAGGGTAACCCGCTTTTTCTGATATTTCTTGGAATGAAACCAAACAACAGGTATGATAGAAGGACGAGCGGATGAAGGGTGACTTGGCGGGGATGAGGGTGAGTTAAGGCTGGTAAGAACCTAAATTTAGAACTACTATTGGGTGGTTAGAGCAGTAAAGTCACATGTGGTTTTTGTGAAGCAAAGCAAAGCCCAAGATAAAAAACTGTCGATAAACACAGGTAGAGTTTGCTATATATATTCACAAAGTCAGAAGTAGTCGACAAGACAACGTGGCCGAGTGGTTAAGGCGACAGACTCGAATCCCCAAAAATTCTAGTTATCTGTTTCGTTCGCGAGCACAGGTTCAAATCCTGTCGTTGTCGGATCTTTTTGCTCTCTAAGTCTTTTTTTTGTTTTATTCTGGTTTGATCTTCACCCCTGCCCAGTTGCCTTGGCGCGATTGCTGGGAAACTCGCTGTACTAGTACTAGTACCAGTACCAGGGTACTGCTGCTGAATCATGTAATTACACTAGGAGCACGTCACGAGCTACAGCTGCGAATATTTATGCGCAACGATAGTTGTACAAGCAAGATCATTGGAAATAATAGCTCGCCTATGAGAAATGAGAAACACGAATCAGACTAGGGAATGGGGGCTTACTGGTACCGGCACTGGTGCTTTGGGCGCGAGGAAGCAGCCGAGTCTACTAGTCTATATATCTGTCACACTTTCGTTACGTTGCCTATCATACAAGTGCGGTAGAAGATTCGGAGATTACACAGACTCGACAGAAGCGTTCGTGATCTAAATAAAACATTGGTTAATTGCGACTGCGCAATCAGCCAACGAGGAGCACCGGCAGTGGGGGTTCGTTCCATCACTACCGTAGACCGGTAATCCCTTTGAATCCACTATCTCCGGAAGCCCTGTAATCTCCGGGTTCTGGGTCAAAAGCTCCCGGGAAGGACTAGCGTTCTCGCGACGCGGTATAAGACCAGACGTGTCGGATGGATCTTGTTAACTGGCATTCGCAATCCCCTTAACCTGTCAAACTAGACCTATCGTGGATTGACGGGCTGAGTTCCGCTGACAATCTGATAGTTGATTTCAAGAGATTATACGAATGCGGTGCCTCCCCATGGACAACGTCCACAGCCAACGAGAATGGACAAGAGAAAGAAAAAAATGGGCATAGGCTGAAATTTAATAATATGAGAACAAGGAAGATGTGAGCTGATATCTCCATGCTCGGTATAACCTTCATCCGCTACTAGAACAGCAAGTCCTTCTATTGAGCACCGATTCACAAAGAGTCCCCCCCCCCGAGGGCCGTCACGCATATCGCAGCAAAGAGGGTTCTAAAATTTCCTTATCAAAACCCAAGCGGCTAATCTATCGATCGGCCGCACTTGTAATGGAATAAGGATGGTGGTGTTCTACTATAATAATAATAATATTGCTTGGCTTCCAACCAGTTGATAACATTGTGATCTTTGCAGACTGGTGCATCGTCATCCTGAGAGAGGAATTCCTGGGCACTGTAAGCTGACATCTAGTGAATAGTGTAATGATGATTCCTTCCTTAGTATTCATCATTCTTCACAATTGGATTCCCCGGAGGGCCTCTCCCCCCAGGCGTATAAGCTATTCGACAGCGCCGGGTTGATTAGCCATAGGATGGAAAAGGCAGGTGTAATGGTGCATGCGGTATTGCACGCAACTCGAGAGGAAGAAAGAAAAGAAAAGAAAAAGAAATTATTTGGCACCAGCCTAAGTTCAACTTCAACTTATCAGCTATCCCTTTCCTCGAGGATACATGAACAACGGGAGACACGTTTCACGAACATTTCTATCGAGCGGGCTGCGGGGGGGGAAGGTTCAAGTGTGGTGATCGTTACAGCTGTTTCTCTACGGGCCCCATCGCAGCAAGAGCTGCCAGACCGCACCGCCTTTCGGTAAAGACTTTTAGGCTAACCCGGGTCCATTAACCGTACCAAAAAGCTGGGGGATCTGCGCACGGATTGAGGGGTAGGGGAGGGATCAACAAATGTCCTCGTCGGAAAAATTGCTCCGACGTGCCCCCTTCGGAGCCCATACCCCTCCATACTGCACCCCCCCCCCCGAACCCCCAAGTTTCCCGACATCCAGGATCCCAAGAATGCACCTTTTTCCGCGAAAGTCTACTGCAGGGAGGGCCGGCCCCACATTTTTTGTCACGGAGGATCCGCTATCCCACCCATCCGCCTCTCATCGGACAGGCGCAGGTTAGCTGTACTCGTACAAGGCTGCAATGCGCACCTACCCCGATCGGTACTTACTTACTTACTTACTACTTGCCCTCTCGTGACCCTCACTCCTCGCCCCTCCAGATCTCAGAAACGAGTGACATCGCATGACCTACTTGGCTAAGCGTCGGAATCCGTATGGCCGACATGATAAATGGAGCTTTATCCGCGCTGGGTTTTGCATCGGGTGTTCGGGCGAGTGTCTAGTGTGGTGTGTGGAGGTTTTCCTTCTTCAATTGTGTAGGAGAACGCTTGCGCTGTTATTCCCCCACGTCTGTTAAACGTCTATTACGGAGATGAGGACCGTATTTGGTAAATTGTAATTGTGATGATTGTTAATTTGTGGTATGATATTTTACTTGGTATTAAGGTACAGGACAGGTGGGTGATTGGTGGGGGATGTAGGGGGTATATGGAAATGAAAATATAGGAAGGTGGTGAATGGAAAGGTATCATTTGCTGCCCGGTGGAATGGAGTTAGAAGGCAGGAAAAGGAAGGTGAAATTAAAGGAAATGACATATTGTATTCTGTTTTTAGTTTTGGGATTAAACGGGGGCCCCCCGGCTCCATTTAGCACAGCCAACCCCATCAGCCCACTTCTCGCTGTGTTCGAGTACGGTACTCGAGTACCGTACTCATACGTTCCACTCGGGTATTCATGGTCGTGTCAATGGCGCCTCTGCCCGTCCATAGAATCGACACCCCCCAACCCGCTACTCACCCCGGCACTCTGAAATGCGCAATCCCCCGGGGCACCCCACCTGTGGTTGAAAGTCGTGTACCGTCTCGCAACGCCCCAGCCACCCCTTCTGGTGGCACATCCCCCACTCCAATCCTCCAGCTCCTCGATGCTGTAACCGAATCCGGGGATCCGTGGATCCCGGGCGAGCGGGATGTGATTAAAACGGAAGTCCCAAACCGCAGCAAAGCACATCCTGTATGAGAGAATGGCCATGACAACGCCCATTACCGAACCGACAACTGTGTCGTACCAATTGTGGCTCATGTCCAGCGACAGTGAGCCAACGATTAGTGTGGCTGCGAGCATGGGCGTAATGAAGAGGAGGAGTTTCCAGTACGAGGGGTGGTAGTTTGAGAATATCTTTAGGTGCGCGTTGAAGTACAGGCTTAGGTACAAGAGGCCGGCCCAGGCGGCGATGGAGTGGCCGGATGGGAAGCTCTGCATCGCGTTGGCGATCTCGTCTCGTCTTTTGGGGTCTGTGTGGTCTCTACAGACACTCGTGTCGAAATATAACCCCCCGTATCCCATTCCTTGAACGCCGTCGATTTGAGGATCGCAAACAGTGAGGAAGTGCGGCCTCAGCCCTCCGATCACTAACTTTATAATGATTTGCAGGGTAGCACCGGTCAAGACGGAGTAGATTACCCCCATGCAGCCGTTGTTGACATTCCAGAAAGACCCACGGCCAAGCAGGGCGCCGCCACGCATTCCAGCCGTGCGTAGACGCTTGCCGTGCGGGCCGTGGGTTGCGATTCCTAGGGTGTTGATTAGGATTATGGAGATTATTGGGATGAAGACTGCTATCATGGCGTCCGCTATGATGGGAATAATTTGTTTGCGCTTGGGGTGGGCGAAGGAGCTTACGATTTCGGAGGAACTAATTTAGTTTGTCAGAGTTACATTTGGTTGAAGGTTAGACCTAGATAACAGGGCACCCACCCATCTACTTGATTTCCTGGATTGGCTGTCACAGTAAATAACTTCCGGTAGGGAATTGGACTCCACATGAGTAGCCATAACGAAATGGCGATCAGAAAGATGAATCTATACCGCTGTTAATTTTCTGTTCATCAGAGCTGAGTTTTGAGTGATAGGTGCTCACGCAAGAACATCATGCCAATACCACTTAAACCACTGATTAAATGTAGGTGGGCCTCCGTATGGATCAATCCAGCCCTCGCACTCCTCCTCCCCTGCCTCCATATCTCCCGCCATAGCCGCCGCCCCGGTATCAATCTGTCCCAGACCATTAGGATTTGTAGTACTCGCCCGAGGAGTAGCCGGATGAACATGTTTCTCAGTAACCATCGAAGAACCAAACCGGAAACGACTCAGGAAGCCAGACATCTCTGTTTTTTGTTAGACAACCGGGGAAGAGAACAGTGACGGTCCACCAAATAGTTAATAACCTTCCTTCCGCATAGAAATATATGAAGTCTATTTATACCGAGACACAACATCATCTACGAAAACCAAGATTTACCACATGCAATGTGTGATACAGGGTATGACACGCCGGGCCGTCATAACAAAATCCAAGATTTTTCATGGCTCGCGGTGTCGTTGTTCGGGCAGAGCAAGTTACGGGAGGTCGACGGGCGGCGGGTGGGCGGGTAATTGTGGGATGGAGAGGCCAGGGTTTTGGAGGATATTCGTCAAGCTACGTCAGCCAAGACTAACGGGTTCCCCATCCCTACGAGCAGTTTGTTCCTGATTCGAAGCCGAGACGCAACTCGAATTGTGTGATGATCGGATCCTGAATAGGTGAAGGAAGATCCAGTTTGCTGATGACAGGGCCAATGAATCGACAGAGAATGTTTTACTACTGTGCCCAAATTCGCCACTTATCGTAGCATTAAATTTAGGGGCACTCGAACATACCGGTTATGGTGTTGGCTTACATGCTATTGGTTGAATTCTAATCACTTGTGTGTAAGAGTTTAGATACGGTAGTAAATGTTGTCTGCTCGAGTATTATTTAATTTTCTACGTTGTTGATCCGTACGGGTTTTAGCCTATCAATAGACTACACACTACCCCCTCTCCCAGCTCCTTATGCAAACTTCCATCGCAAACCGGGTACAGACCGCACCGCACTCACGTTAGACTGCTAAAGCGGTTTACGGTTCCGCTCTGTTTTCCATGCTTGGGTGCTCCTATCACCAGGTTAACAACGTCGTGTGTGTTTGGGTTTGAGAGGGGAGGCAGGGGTACAGTACCACTGTCGGCGCCGTGAGTCTACTGTACTGTACTTGTCCTCGAGCAGAGAGGGAGGAAGGATCCTTGTCTCACAGTCTCACAGAAATTACGGCTGGGGCCGGTAGATGAATTAGTCACGTGTGTCTGATAAGAGAAATTCGGTGAACCTTCTTGTCCCAGTGTACTGTACCAAGATAAAGCACGTGACAAATATAACCGTCCGCTTGTACCAGTACAATTTACAAGAGTTCGGTCACTAGTGTGCTCCATATTTGCCCGGGTTTTATCCGTAAGAATCGAAAGACATAAGCCTTGTCTTCAGAGAGGTTTATGAGGGGTCAGCCAGCAGAAATGGTTTTCCAATTTGATCGACGTGCACTGACATGATACCTCACAGAGATGGTGCAAGCCATCGCGGGAAAGAGCCTTTGTGGATCTAGCAGCGTTGAGATTCCTTACTGAGTGCATGCTCAGCCTCGGGTGCAGTGTTCTAGTGCTACCTCCACCCTATTGGGTCCCGCAAGCTTTGAAACATCGGGAGAGTCCAAAGAAGGTGGCAGGCACTCCCGTATGCTTGGAAGGATATCGTGGCTAGCGATCAGAACTACCATCTATACTCACCTGGGCGGGTCCTTTGTCCAAGATCCTTGAGTTCGTCCCGCGTTAAATAACCAACAAATTAAACATCGTATCACCCACCACACCAACACTCTCTAGGAGGTTGTATAAGATATGACGATGATGCGCTATACCCAACCATCATGCATGTATTTATGTATGTATGTATGTGTACGCCATTGAATAAAACAGTAAAATCAGTAGAAAAACAACAAGTATGAGAATATTTTATGACTATATGACATTATGCTTGCGGAAACCAACAAGGAAAAGGTTCCTCAAGTGTTCATGATTTCCTACGCCAAAAAATTAGTCCCGATTCCACAACAAGGATTAGAGCACGGTTTGGAATACCTTAGCAAACTTGCTCCTAGCTCTAATATTTGTTCCATAAAACATCAAAACCCAGGGCACAATGGTCAATAGCGCCCCTACGCACCCGAGAAGACTCGAAGCCCCAGCAAAACCCAGACGGTGGTACATCATGTCCGCTATGAGCGGAAACCCACCAGCGAAAAAGTTCCGGCAGAAGCTTTGGGCGGCGAGTGCAGAGCTTGCGTACCGGTGGTACGTGTCGGCGAGATAGTTGAACGCAGCGAGGTAAATGGAGTAGATCCCCATTGTTACGCAGCCCACGGCCACAGTCGGGAGTATCCAGTGCTGAGATGGGAAGGAAGTCCAACCAAACCAGAACAAGCCAATTGGTAGGAGGCAGCCGATTGTGCAGGCAGAGTAGAGGCGGGCTTCGGGGTTTGGAGTTGAGCTTGACAAGTATTTCTCGGTGCTCATTTCTACCAGGGAGTTGCAGCAAAGAGCTGCTACGCTACCAATAGGCATTGCTATGCGGCGTTAGTAGAGATGACGAGTAGGGCTGAGAGTGTTAATACCTGCGAATACATAGCCAACTTGGGCAACAGTAAACCCGTGATTTTCGACGAACACTAGGGGAATGGCTTCTAAGAACCTGTATGAAGCCGTATTAGAAGTGGCCCTTCAATACGCTTAGGTAGTTGTTGACCCACATATACAGAATCCCCCACGCAAAGGTTAACCAGCAGCTGAACCAGAACACAACAGACTCGGTGACAAGGAACCTGAACGGCCTAGTCAACGCCACCCTGACCATCAGGGAAATGCTCTCCCTTTCCTCATCGGCCTTCACTTTCCATCTTACCCCTCGATCTTCTCTTTCATCTAGAAACTTGTTTAAGGCCTTAGCCTTACGGCTCAGTAGCACACTTCCTCTAGTTTCTTTGAGAATAGGAAACGCTATTGCCATCAATACCCCATTGAATATCAATTGGACCCAATGGATCCACCGCCAAGATAGATTCTCCACAATGGCCCCACTCACGAGCGGTCCAAGACCGGTGAAAGCCATCCCAGCCATTGAGAATAGTGCCATTGGCAAACCGCGGTCTGGTGCGTGAAAGATATCTGATATGATGCCACCGATCATAGCACCGAAGGTGCTTCCGCCAACACCCAAAAAGAAGCGAGTGACAATCATCCCAGTGGCCGAGTGAGAGAGAGCCGAGAGCATATGGCAGACTAAGAATAGGTAAGTTATGGAACTCAAGAAACATTGGCCAGACAAACCATTGAACAGCCCAAAAGTAACTAAGTAAGGATCTCGTCGCCCATACACCTAACGACTCATCAGATCAGCACCACTACCCCAACCTACAAGATCCATACCGGTATTCTCGGCAATAACAAGCACATATTCCCACTCTCGAGGCCCAAACTTACCCCCAACCCCAGATAAAAAAACCACAAAAACATACCTCAGACAGAGGTCCCAGCACCAAAGGCGGCACCGCAAAGCCAATTGTAAATGTCGTGATTCCAAGCAACATGACTATTCTGCTAACATGCCATTCCTCCATCATCTCGTCAATCCCACTTGTATAAGCACCAGCCGAATATGCACCCATAGCAGTAGAAAGAGACGTTAAAATCAGTATCGCGTTCTTCTGCGCTCTCGGCCAGGTAAATGGATCTGTATAGCACGTTACTGTGCTGGGTAGTTGCTCTGGGTCCGCAAAGAGGGCTTCTGGAGGCGTGTTCCATTCTAGATAACTGAATCCGGATGGCAGCTTTTCCGCATATGGTGGCGCTGGCGAATCGTCTACGATGGTAATTTTCTCAAGGTCGAAAACAGTTGGAAGAACGTGTTTGATTATTTCGGGTCCCTCTTGGGGCGCTCGTGGCCGCGGCATTGCTTCTGAGGTAGCAACTCACTCAATTCAAAGCTGGTACCAAAACCCAAGATCAAACTTAATTGAAGAGGAACGGTAAAGAAAGCATTGGTCGCTTGCCGGGACCGGTTGGTTTTATAGGAACAAATTTTGTATTTCGGACCCAAACCCCCCCCAAAATAATGTGATCCACCTGCCCCACCCACCTTTAGAGCCCCAGGCAAGACCTTGTCAATATAACTTAATCACCGCATCATACCGCCGCAGCATCTAATATCGACAACCCTTGGTTGAAAACATATGACCGACCCAAGTGGCCGAATAGAAGGCCGGGGGCCCAAAGGAACAAGGAAGGAGAAATAACGCAGCCCCTTCTAAACGGACACAAGCATATCTCGGGATACACGCATATTTGGCAAGGGAATCTGGTTGGGGCAGGTTTATATACTGATAAGCCACTATAGTAGTAACATGTTTCCAGAATTAGCAATAGGAGATATCGTGGAGGATATTTGAGTGATCTATGATCCTTCCTAGGGACTTGGCGCAGTGGATCTACACCTGGTCAAGGATAATAAATTAGGTGATAAGTCATGAAGCCAGTTTTGGAAGGCTGAAAAATCAAGCGCTTCGCTTGTCGTCTATACCTTAGCCAAGCCGAATCCCTTTTAAGGTCGGAGGCCGGCAAACCGCCGCACCGGAGATAGTACCGGTAGTTGCCCTGTTTCATCCGCGTGGCCTCCGAGGACACCGACTCTGGAAAGACCCCGGGAATGGTTTGTTCTCCAAAACGTGCCCCGCACTTTTAGATGGGGCTGGGTTGAGAGTGTGGCAATTGAGAATTTCAAATTGGTTGAAAGAAAATATGAAAAAACATTGACCAGGTAGAGAGCGAAGGAGAATAATGCAGAGGTATTTTTCCGAGCGAGAGAGCTTTCTGTCAACCCTGGATCAGGATATCAAAGGCGATTTTTCCGGTGCGAAGTGCCAAAAGTGTGAGCTCATTATATAATGCCACACGTCAAGCACACTGCCCGATAGCACCCCAGAGTTTTATTAGGTTTGGGGTCTGCAAGTATCAGAGAGATCGACAGCATAAGCTAGATGGGGCGAGTGCCTTTGCGGGGCGAGCGGACTTCAACCCCCAATCAAACAGCTATGCGCACTGCCGGTGTATCAATAGCACATTAAGTCAAAATGGTAATTTTCCTTGCTCAATCATCCCTCGTTAGGATGGATCCCAAATTCATACCATCAAAAGAATTATAAGTATTAGGAGGAAGTTATGTCTCGCTTAGAGTGCGAGTGTATATCCTAGGGATCTCTTCCTTCAATTAAATTATGGATTTTATCTATACATCTAATATGCAGGACAAGCAAACCCACATAATTATGTACCATCCGATCTAGGAATTGTGCAAGTTATCAACTACTCTATTGCGAGGGGAACACGATGGACTGGCTGAAAAAAAAGCCTGCCCCCTACCTCTCTACCTATTAGTAGCGGGAGAGTAGCAAGAGCCTTTCAGATAACTGTTTATAGATATGCTTTTAGGAAGGTTGTAAACCTTTATTATAATTTGTTTTACTAAGTAGTAGAAAGAGGGTACTAACTCAGAATTTCCAAGTCCCAGTAGTTGCACTTGGGAGTGTGTATGGAAACTCTATAAACGTGACTGTAAAAGCCAAAAGAGACCAATAACTTAACCTCCTCCCTTTATCTGAATAATTCTTAGTGTACAAGTACAGTACTCAAGATTCCACGACGTACTTTTCCACTCTATTTATAAAGTACAAGTACAGTTCTGTCTGATGAGATTCTGTAGGCCCTAAAGCAATAATACAACCAAACTGAACAGTAGATTTTACAACTACCACTTAAGAATATTATTTCAATTAGAAGAAAGATAAAGTAGAAATAAAAGTAACAATTTCAAAATACTAATATTTTGTATGGCTTCAATTTCCATCTAGCACAACCTAAAGTGTTTTAAATATCCTGTAATTTATTGATTAATAGTCTTTTGTAGTGTAAGATCACACCTTCCTCCCCCCACTGCTTAAGATAATTCAGCAGCACCTTGAGGCCTTCATTCTAACTTGGGGAGTTGCATTCCAAAAACTTTATTGAAAAGTGCCCAGGTGTTCTCAATTTGAATAAGATTGAGGTCTAGTAGGCTGAAAGCCTAAATGTTAAAGAAATTATAAAATATTTATTATATTATATACTCTTATAACTTTCTATGATATTTTCTAATCTACTATGCTATAAAGTATCATTATCAGCAGTAATAAATATAGTTCAAGGGGCTTTGTTTAGTACCTCTAGGAAGAAAATATGATAAAAATAGTAGATCTTGGTATTATATAGGTACATATTAAGACTAAGTCTATTCCTTTTACTCCCCATTCCTTTTTAGTCCTCATCCTGATCAGAATTAACTCAGCCTTTTATCATATATAATTACAGCATAAATCTAATATTAATCCTTCCAAACTTAAATATTATGTTTTTAAACTTTCTCTTTCCAACTTCTTATCATGCCAGCTCTATGGCTGACTGTTCATTCTGCAAGATTTATTTCATATCTAATAATTTGGTAGCTTTATTAATAAAAACTGCTTACTTCTAAATTCCTATCTAATTTCTCTTATTCTAATAAAAACTCCCTCTTGATTTTATCCTTTTTACCTTAAGTTAGAATAAAAGACTGCTTTTCTAAGTATGATATCTTAGGTTTAAAGCCAATTTTATCAAACATCTAATTAGTATATTTATTAAGACAAATGTTGACTATTGAGATACATTATCCAGGGTTATGAAAGCATTTTGGACATGACCGCACATATGTCATCATGAGCCATCACTCAGCATTTTGGAAACATGGCCAGATCGCTAATCACAATCCTCTGGCGCCATACGGTAAAATACATGGCAAACACCCTCTGGTATGTCCTAAGATCCCTTTAATGAAGGAAACTTCAATCTCCTAAATCCACCGCTCTAGCTGCAAGATCTTACTCGCCCGTCCCTGCGAAGAATACCCGGCGGTATCCTCGGCAAAGACGCGAGTGCTCCCACTTCTCGGCCAAGATCCGGCACCCCATTTATCCTGGCGGATGGCACAAACTCCGTTCCGCTAAAGGGATAGCTCACCAGGAATGGGTACATGTAGCTTCCATGGGAGCCAAACTCTTCATATTATAATAGCATATGCCGCAAGGCAGAAATCTAGAAGTTCCGGTAAACTTGTAGCAACTCTATTTACCAAATCCTCCCCAAATAGTTAGGCTTCCATACTCGTTGCGCGCTGGCAATAGACTAGACCACTTCAGCTAGGACGGACCTGCTCGACCCACTAGTATAAATGGGGTGCTAGATTTTGGTTGATAAGTACAAGCATCATACCGGTAGAGCAGGCACCTGTATTGCGGGCAGTACGGGCAAAGGAAGTGTTCAAAGGCCATAGAGTGGCCTAACCCAACAGACAACTCAGAAACGCAGCGGTAGGTCTAAAGTCACCCTGGATGAAGCAGACCAAAAATATATGGGAAAAAAGGGGAAAGAAGGATGCGCTATCCATCATGCTGGCTAAGAACATACTGGGGGATATATATCTCCCCAACTCCAGAACTTCAAGAAAGCCAAATGAACCCTCAAGAAACACACCAACCTGACCAATCAAGATCCTCTGCGATCTCCAATAATCTGGAACCATCCTGATATCTCATGATCCTCCCTGAACCCTAGAGTCTATGCCAGCTACCAGTGCCGAATGGCATATCATATGTATATCATGGTGTGAAAGAATCATAGAGCCAAATACCCGATACCTGATGTGCAATGGCAACAAACGTCAATCAAAACTATGTTACATATCCTCCCGCACACCACATATCAGCCTAACCGCATGCCCATTAGTCACTCCAACACTAACGGCTTGACTTCCGCTATAAGTTATATGATATCCCCGTAACAGGCTAGACATAGCTCTTCACGATTTGATTAAGTACAGCAAAGCTCCAATACTAATACCGGTACTGGTATCGCACTCACCCGAGTTATCTTTCACTTCATGGCCAAGCTGTGCATAGAGAGGCCCAGGATTTTTATGACTCCAATTGCCAAACTCTAGCTACTATCATTCCAACATCCCTCAATTCAAAATAAAATTGACTTATGCCCTAAAAACCAGTAGAGTGTCTATAAAGTATATCCGGTTAGAGTTACCAATATTATCATACTACCAGAAGTTGTTATGATAATTGCGCCAGGAAGACAGAAAGCCCCACAAATCTCGGGCTTCTTACTCAATTCAATCAAAAGGTCATATTCTGACCCTTTCTCGAATATCTTGAAACCACCCCAGCTAAAATTATGCTTCCGGAGCACGCCTTCAAATCATACCATCATGAAGGGAGAAAAGTAAAAGCGAAGTCGGCATCCAGGATCCTCAGCTCCAGAGCCAATTTCAGGCCCGTTACATATGATATCAACAGGGTGGGATCAAGGAACCAGGTCACCAGGCCTAATCATTAACTAATGCTAACATAACCTACTCGCATGATACTCAATAAATCATTATTGTATGATACATGTAGACCTTTGATTATCATCTATGTATTATATACCACGACCAAATATTTTGATCGCCAAATCTTTCCACCTGCTCCAGGAAGAACAAACCAGAACATTTCACGTCCGAATTTTTTACATGGAAGCTCAGATGTGCACAGACAATCTACCATATACTGTATAGTACAAACTTTTGCCACTCGTGCTCGGGTCCATTTTTCCTGGTACATGTATAAAGCCCTAATTTCATCAAACGCTTGACCCTGCTTTTGTATAGTTGTCTTTATAAAAGGAAAAAACAGCACAGCTACAGAACATCTTTTCCTCCCTTGGGCACACCTTGGGAAGAGCACGAACAATAATGCCCAGATATTCCAAATACCTTACAAACACCTCCAAGACACTGGCACAAATAAATACAGTATACCCCAAGGTTCCGAACTTTGAGTTTTTTAGGACCGGATTGAAATTTAAAAATTTCTATCCCGCTCAGATAGAAATATATCTGGCCCGGGTTTCCGGCTTATTCAATTTTATGATAAAACGCGGCACCACACCTGTTCAAGGACATCCCTCCTTCCAATAGCCCCCCCTCACCCTTAGTAGAGTCTTCAGCACATACCGGGTCCAGATTCCAGTCAATTCCTAATTGCACCAGTGGACGTTGTGGACCCAGGAAAGGATGTCGTCCATATGAGAACTTTGCAGGGGGTACCATGAAGACCCAGGACTAAAAAGGGAAAGCCAAATATTGAGCACCGCCGAGCTATTTATTGAAAATTTCAGCCCGTTCCTTGTATCATATCTTTTACTTCTCTACTCCACACTTAGACCTTCTATGGAATAGTCCCTAGTTATCACTGCTCGAGTATTGTTACTTCCCTCCTTGCCTCTTACCCCCCCAAAAAAAAGGTTCTGTCCACCGCTTCACTCTCCCGGATGCCCTCCCCTGTCCCGAATGGCCCACTCAGGATCTTGGCCATCCAGGACAACGGAGTGCAGCCGTACCACTCGCTCCCTACCGCCAACAGAAACTTTGACCCCGCCCGCACCAACACATCTCCCCCGTTGAAAACATGTTAAACAGTTACAAATTGTGGAAAGAAGTTAAAAAGTTAGCGGGAACCTTTCTCTCCCACAGCGAAAAAGCCTTAGCTGAATCTGTAACATTGGAAAATGTCACATTTCCGCAGCGTTTGCTCACTAAAAAGTATGTTTCAGATAACTTGTCCCTTCTTTGTCATCATTGATCTTGATGCGGGGGATATGCCAAGATCAACAAAAGCTACTGACCAACCGGTCCCATACCCGCCCCCGCCGAGTCGAAGTTGGACACCCATGGGGCAGTGGTAGCGGGACCAATAACGAGCCTATAGCGAGACAGTGGGAAATCACTCAATAATATTATTATGATACAAAACAAAACAGCACAAAACAGCATCACCTACTCTAAGCCGTTCTTTTACAGCTCATGGCCTGGAAAACTACCACATACCGTACTCATATAACCTGGAATCTATCCCATCGAAACTATCTTTCCATTATGGAGTCACTCTTCAAGGAATACCATCAAGTGCTTAAGACTTTTGGTCATCCACAGCCTGGGGAAGAGTTTCCCAAGTTCTCACGATTGCCTGTTTGGCCCCATGTGCAACTACTTACTACCTCCTAGGATACTGTACGAGTATATGCAGGTAGAAAAAGCAAATCTCTCGCCCTAGCACTCTGGTGATGTCCATTTACCGCATCGTCACGGGGATCACTACGCTTTGTGAGCGCGCGAGAGTATCCTCCAGTCTCTCCGCAAAATTCAAGTTCGTATCTAGGGGCGCTATGGCTAGACTTGGCAAATGGTTAACAGAACCTAGACAGAAAATCGGATTTTGAGTCTTTTCAGCTCAAACGGTCTCAGCACTCTTGGCGGTATAATATTCTCAGCAAATCACAAAACTCCGATTATTCCAGGACCAGCTTAGCGTGCCTGGATTCGTTCAAGTACAAGTACGTTAGGACAAAATTTAGTCGATTTATACTTGTGCTTGTACGAATTCGCCTGTTTCAGAGAGACCAAGGGATAGTATGATAATACACACTAATATCCCAAATGGGGCAGCGCATCAAAAATATTTTAACTCTTCAATGCCGGTACTTGTACAAGTACTTGTAATTGAGTTAGAAAGAAATTTCTTGTAACATATTATTTTCCTTGATTCCTCCGCTTGCTTCGGTGTTGAGGACAATGTCCTGTCCTCTATTCAGGATTGGATTTGTGATCGCTCCCGGTTATAAAAGTGCAAATCCCTAAAGAGGTTTTCGCATGTCATTGACAGATAACTCTACACTCCTCTGAAAACGGGTGGTGCTACAGATAAAGAACTGACCAATAGATAGACCTCCTGATGGCATCATCCAGCCTTTCCCCTCCACGACGATAATGCTTAGGTTCGATTGCGTGAGATGGGTTTGGCTTGTCTTGCAATAGGATGGTGGGTCGCATTGCCCCTCTTTTCCATGGTCACGACATCCCGCCCTTTATTTACACCAGACTTCTCTTCCCTTCCTCTTTTCTTGCCGGTCTCAGCAAACTGCTCGACAATACATAACTCCCCTCACCAGAAACCATCCACACGTTAGTATACAATGGCTGCTCAGACTCCAGCTGGAACGTGAGTATCATTGGATTGATCAGACAGAAACATATGCTAACCCCAAGCTAGCCTCCGCCTCGGAAGCACTGCTCCCGACTTTGAAGCTGTGACCACCAACGTTTGTCTCCATATTCCAAGGAACCTCCCCCATTGTGGCTTTCACTAACCATTTCCAGGGCCCCATCAAGTTCCACGAGTTCATCGGAGACAACTGGGTCGTTCTCTTCTCGCACCCCGAGGGTACAAACACACTTTTCCGCTTTATATTTTATCTCACCGCTGATCACCAAAGATTTCACTCCCGTTTGCACCACCGAGTTGGGAGCCTTCGCTAAGCTCGAGCCCGAATTCACCAGGCGTGGTGTCAAGCTCATTGGTCTTTCCGCAAACACCATCGAGTCTCATGGAGAGTGGATCAAAGACATCGATGAGGTCAACCAATGCAGCCTCAAATTCCCTATTATTGGAGACAAGGAGAGGAAGGTTGCATACGCTTACGACATGTTTGTTCCCCAGTGAAATGAGCCTGAGAGTCAACAAGGTTAAAAAGCTAAACCCGATCTCGGCAGGATTGATTACCAAGACACTACCAATGTTGACTCCAAGGGAATCGCTTTTACCATCCGCTCTGTCTTTGTTATCGACCCAAAGAAGACTATCCGTCTTATCATGTCTTACCCCGCCTCTACTGGGCGTAACGCAGCTGAGGTACTCCGTGTCGTCGACTCTCTACAGACTGGCGATAAGCACCGGTAATTACTCCTTCACCCGTCACTTCCGGGAAGAAACCTGCTAATGGAAACAGTATCACCACTCCTATCAACTGGGTCCCTGGAGATGATGTTATTGTCCACCCTTCTGTCACCAACGAGGAGGCCAAGGTATGTCCCGATACTTTACTCGAGACAAGTGGTTGCTGACAACCCCCAGACCCTCTTCCCTGACTTCCGCATCGTTAAACCGTACTTGCGGTTCACGCCTCTTCCCAAGGAGAAGACCACCGCTGCTTAACCCCTAAAAAGTAATGGTGGGATTCCAGATGTAAGCTGCAGTAAATTAAAAGGGGTCTGTTTTCCTGGTCAATTTCATGGTCTCCGTTTCATTTACTGTCATTTCGAGCGCAATAACATTGTACTTGTAAATACATTCACACGAGTACATGAAACGGTAAGCTCGAGCGATCTGTTTTAACGACCGTCCAATGACACTTTACCCGAAAAGGTAAGCTCAGGTCTGTGAATATGCTGCGTATGTAACATAGACGTTAGATAAACCAATCCTGAAGCATAAAAAAATCACACAGGAATTCCGTGAGTTGATAATCGAGCACGGGTGGTTGCACCCGCGACAGTACCCTCGAAACTCCCAAATTTCCTTTAAAATGTGGACCCGCGCGCTACAGGTAAAGGAAAAGAGGAATGGACGACGGAGCGATAATAATTTCAATGGCTCTTACAATCACGTTACTATAACAGCAATTCCTATCAATGTGCTTCAAGGAAAAATCTGTGATATCACATAATTGATGAGAGATGGCTCATCCGCAGTATGCAGTATGCATGCAGAAGCAACCGAACCCTGAAGTCATCCGCGAAGGTGATGAGTAGAAAGATGTGACAGGCCGCCCTCTGGTGCGGTATGACACTTTTTGCGAACACCACCATGCCATCACCTAAGATCCACTCGTAATAATAATAATAATAAAAGGTTGGCTTTTAGGGTATGCAATAGCAGTTGTGCTCACAAAGGTCGTTCAATCACAAGCGCAATAGTCTACCGGTGGCGTGTTACTGTGCTCGAGTACCGGTATCCGTACCAGGATTAGGTTGAGTCCTGTATTAAGTAAGCTAATTACCGAACAAGTACAGTAGGTGTCAACATATTAAAAGGAAACACACGGGTTCTCACTCGAAAAATGGTTTACGGTACCGTGCTGTGCTCGAGTATGTCTAAACCTGTCTCGCGAGTGACAGTGTGTGTATACATATAATACATAAGCTATCGCACTCGTAATATTAGATCTTAAAGAGCCGGGAAATCCCCTTCTCCCCCTCCCTCCTCTCTCGTCGAAACACCCCCCCCCAAAAAAAAACCCCCCCCCCAGAGGTATCAAATCTACTATGCCCATCTCTATAGCTTTGCCCTCGTGTTCCCGCTCCTCCCACCCCTCCTCCTTGGCTTGCTGATCTCCATCTCCTCAACCTCCACCTTCCCCTCCACACCCCCGACCCCATCCCTGACGCCACCCCTCTCGAAAAGCTCGCGCCCGCACCTCTCCGCCAGCTTCAGGACGCGGGAGCTGACGCTCTCGTTATCGCGCCGGTTCTTGCCCTCGCGCCGGGATATGGCGATCTTTTCAACGAATTCCCAGAGCCGATCATTCGCGATCCAGTCCGGTGAGACGCGCATTAGTGGCGGGGTGCGGCCGGATTTGGATTTCCGGATTGTGATTATGCCTTCCTCCTGGAAGCGCTGGAAGGCATTCTTGAGCGTTTCCTTGTTGACAGCTTCGAAGTAGGAGATATCGCCTTGGTGGTAGAGTGTTTTTCCCATCTTTGGGGAGTTAGTTACGAGGAACAAAGGGGGAGGGTGAGAGAAGGGGGCAGAGGGAAGTACTAGTTGTGCCATGTCCTGAGCTTCGCGTAGGTCCACCCATACTTCTTCCATCCCCTTCGGCGGGATAAGGCCCATTATCGCGACTCCCGCGAGCCAACTGCCCTCAATGAATGGCCATATGAGAAAGCAGTAAAAGTCAAAGTTCTCGCGACCGCATTTGCGTTCCGCATCCGAGAGCTCGACGTATCCGATTTTACTATCGGAATTGCTGGTCACTGTGATCACATTGTCCGCCGACAGGCCTGTAAGGGTTTTGCTAAGATTCGTTATGAGACCTTCGGTGGGGAAGACAAATTCCCCGCGGAATAGCTGCGATAGGAAGGAAACCTGGTCTAGTAAGGTTTGGTATTCCACCCGCTGGTTGGCTGGCCCGCCACCTTGTTTGATCCTCGTATACATTGCTGCTGCGACGATGGTCTCGCTGATGAAGAGGTGAATAACCATGTTCCTGTAGAAGCTTAACTGAAACCGGTCCACGGCGAAGAAAGTTTCTTCCGCGAGACCGTCTACTCGACCAACCAGTTCTCCGAGAACCTCCAAACCACGCTCAACAACGGTTTCGGTCTCCGCAATGCCGAAATGAGCAACTCTGCCGCCCTTAGCTCGGATTCTTGTGCGCAGCCATTCCATCCGTCGGACTAGTTCAGATTTTCCAACTCCCCGACCGCGCAGGGTTAGCAGGATTGTGCCGATCAGGGAAGTGGGCATGACAACAGATACGCGGTTTATGTCGCCAAGGACTCTATACCCCAGACTTCGTAGGACCTTGAGGCGGACTTCGGGGTCAGCTCTGTCTACAGTGTCCTGACCAACGTTTGCATCCGCCGGGTTGATTAGTCGGGGGGTTAGGCTTATGCCTATTGCGCCCTCAGCCCGGATCTTGTCTATCTGGCTCTCGACGAAGGTACGCAGGCTCCAGGGTTCGTGGAAACGGACGTCCACCCTACCCATGTTGAGGTTGAGGAACTTGCTGCTGCTGAGGAAGTCCCAGAGGTTTTCTTTGACTTTTGGGATTCCCAGTAGTTCACTAACGTAGGCCTCTGTCTCAATGACTTTGTCGTATTGTGTTGAGACGGGAATAAACCAAGCATCCTGAACCCTGCCGCTGAGAATTGAGTCCAAGATGAAACTGAGTATGCCGAATTTTGGCGCGAGCAACTTGCCAGTCCTTGAACGACCGCCTTCAATAAAGCATTCAAAGTTGTACCCGCCAGATAGTAGTGCATCGACATATGCTTGAACAATAGCGGTGTACACCTCGTCGCCACTGAATGAGCGCCTTATGAACATTGCCCCTGCGTGTTGGAGGAATGGACCAACAAGGGGAAAATTAAGGTTGTCCCCTGCCACCACTACTGGAAGGGTCAGACCGAGCCGATAACAGATCACCTGCAGCGAGACGTAGTCTATGTGGGAGCGATGACATGGGAGGAAGATGAGCGATTGCTTGCGCGCCGCAGCTAATTTGGCAGTTTCTCGCAGGTTTTGGATTTCTAGTGTCGAGACGTGGATTCCACGGTGGTAGGTCCTTGCTAGGAGTTGGACGCAAATGAAGTATGCTCCCTAAAGCATATCACGTTAATCGAGCAATGTAATAATGCCAATTGAGCCCGGGGACCGTACCCTAATAAACCTTTTACTCTCAAACTTGCAAATCATCCCTTCGACTATTTCCTCCGCAACCTCATTTAATTGCTTCTCTACCTCCTGTAGCCTCTTCTGCCGCCTCTTCTCCTCGCCGAACAACCCCATTTCATCCTCTATCACGACCCTCCGACCTGCTAACTCTTGCAGCTTAGCCTTCAACATCCTGCTATCCAGCACACGCGCTTTCATCTCATCGCTGAATCCCTTGTAGAATATCTTCTGGCCAATCGGTTCGTCGTATGCACGCCATCCTGTACCGCTATAATGAAGGGAGATCTCACGAAGGAATGAGAAAGGGTCATCTCGGAAGTGCGTAAAGTTCGCAGTGATCAGGTTTCGCGATTCCTCAGAGGAGTTCGGACTCGGAAGTTGTTGTTCTGGAACTAGTGGTGGGTGTATTTGTAGGTTCGGTGGAAGAATATCGATGTCTGGGGCCGAGGTTGAGGGCTCTTTTGAGGTCATTTGTCGTGGTGTGAAGGTGGCGGGACGGTCGTAGAGGAGCGAGGGTGTTTGTGTATGCGCGTATGTGCGAGTGAGGCTTGCTGGTCAGCCGGGTCCAATGGGCAGTTTTTATTGTACCCAACAGACCAATAGTGACGAGGGAAGAGGGAAGTGAAGTAATGTATCATGTATGATAGAGGTATGATAGAGTTACGATACAGTAAAGACTCTACTCGAGTATTGACCCCCGTCAGGTCAGATTAGGTTTTGAGCCTTGGTTGAGAAAAATAGGGAACTTGCTACAGCAAGACATTGACACAATGTTTAGGGACCTGGGTGAAGCCAGCAAGCGGGCATGTGAGTTGCCGGGCTTTGGTATGATAAAAGTTAGTCCGGAGCAGTAGATTTGCATATTATCATACCCGAGGTGGCCCATTCTTCATCCATTCAATTTCACCATTGCCTTCATCCCCATCTTCGCTCTCACCACCATCACCATCACTTCCCCCCAACCCTTGCTTTAGCTCTTCCAACCCCCCCCCTCCGCATTGGTAAAATATACTCCTTTCCAGCCCATTACGGTGTGATGGAGAACCCACAGAGATCGCTAGAGTCTACACGTGCTCGCTTTAATCGATTAGTCTCTGCGCTCACTGCCTTCGACAGCGCCCTTCGCACTGGAACCCCTGAACAGCTCCCTCCTTGGTGAGAACCCCTCCACATCATCGCTCATCGTTTCATCAAAGGGCTAACCTTTGACTATTGACATTATCATGCATGCAGGCAAACTCTTCAGCCCCACTTCAACGTCCTATTCTCAATACTAGATTCCCTTTCACACACGCTCAACCAACAGTTCCCCCCGCCTCAAATAAACACCTCCGCGCTGGTCTCTTACCCACTACCGAGCTTCCCTGCAAACAGTCAAATCCAACTATCCATATCCACGCTTCTCAACAAAAAGCTCAATCCAATAGTCCAAGATTGGGCCCTCAGGGCCCTCAACGCCCCGACCGTTAATAACGACGATCTGTGGGATAGGGCAAGGGAAATCGTTCAGGAGCAACAGGAAGAGAGGAACTGGTACGATGATATCTACAGCCTGGAAGAGCAGGAAGCCGGCACTGAGGGAATTGAAACCGGGGTCAGTGAAGAAAAGCAGGAAAAAGAGGAGGCTATACCGGGCTTGAAGTTGGAGGCTATTCTGAGGTTCATGGAGACAGGCGTTGTGCCAGCAGATCAGCCGGCACTACCTATGGCTGCTATGCCTGGCACTGGCCCGATGAAGAGGTGATGGGATTGACAGGCTCTGCTTCGGACATGGAGGCTCTATCCAAGGATTTCTCGTATTGTACAGTAATGTCGGCGTTTATTAGCTTCTAAAAAATCTGTTACGATAAACAACGGTACACGTCCTTATATTCTACCACACCCACACAATGAGGAGGACGGCGTTCATCAGGGAGAGTGCCTGTGTCTTCTAGGGGCAAAAGAAGTGGACTTTGCCATGGTGATCTCGAGACCCACAACGGAACCTAAACGGAGAAACCCTTGCTCATGATAAAACTTCCAACTATGATAATTCACCAACTCTTAGTATCCAACAAGGGTTGACCGCGAATCCAACACCGTTATCACCAACTCGCTAGATACGATACTCCCATGATCAGCTGGCGCGCACGGTCCACGCCAAGCTTCCTAAATTCTGGTGTCTTGAGGCTTAGTAACCTAAACGAGCCAAGGGAGAATTTTCCAATCCTTCTGAACACATTTCACCACAAATGTCACCCCCTTCCCATTCTATCATCGCCGCCACCCTCAACCCATCTCCTTCCCATTCTTTCCTCCCCTTTACCACCCTCCCCACTTAAAACTACTGCGATCGCAACCATGGACTCTATTCTCCAATCCCTTGAAGGGCCTGTCTTCTCCACAATACGTCCCTACATCACCCCCTACACCTCCACCCTCCCACCATCTATCCAAAAGCCACTCTTAAACCTACTCACACCGATTTGCTACAATAACTTGATCCGTGACTTCGATCCAGCGTCAAACCCACAATGCGTACAGTACGCTATCTCCAAAGCAATCGGCCTAGGCATCGTCACGCTCTCAACAATCGTTAAAGTCCCGCAATTAATAAAACTCCTCTCGTCACAATCATCCAAGGGTCTCTCCTTCCTCTCATACCTTCTAGAGACGACGGCGTTCCTCTGCACACTAGCATACAACTTCCGTTCCGGGAATCCGTTCTCAACTTATGGAGAGATTGCCATGATAGCCGTGCAGAACGTTCTCATCTCAACGCTCATTCTGCAGTACTCCGGGAAGGGTGGATGGGGTGCTGTTTGGGTAGCAGCCCTGGCGGCGGCGGGGTATGCCTTGTTCAATGAGGGGATTGTAAGTCCGGATATCATGGTATATCTTCAGGCTGCCACGATCCCGTTGGGGTTGGCCAGTAAGGTGCCACAGATTATTGAGGTTGCGAGACAGAAGAGTACCGGACAGTTGTCCGCTTTCGCTGTATGTTCTTCCCTACATGTCACTTGTTGCGAGGATTCTAAACTGATAAACGGAAACCACAGATCTTCAACTACCTCTTTGGCTCCCTTGCTAGAGTATTCACCACGCTCTCGGAGGTCAACGACCCTCTCATCCTCTGGGGATTCCTCGGCGGTGCCGCTCTCAACACAGTCCTTGCTGCACAGATGGTGTACTACTGGAACTCTGGCAAGAAGGGTGGAAAGAGCCCGAACACTCCCAGCAAGAAGTTCTATGCTGGTGGGAAGAGCCCGAAGCCCAAGGGTGACCCCAAGAAGCGGTCATAGATCATGTTCACATTCATACCATACTGATTTTCCTTGTCTTCTTTTTTTTTTTGAAGAAAGTTTGGAGAACCTGGAGGTGGCGGGGGCGAAATGGAAGGCTTCTCGGTTTGGGGTTATTTCTTTGTTTGCTTTATATTCTCTTTTACGCTTCGCAATTCACCGCGACAAAAGCTGTGGGCTTAGAGCTACGATACCTGCGATTTTAAGTTATTGAGTAGGGTTCTCCTGACATCGAAATGTGAGTGGCGATGGCTTCGTAAGCTCGGTTGATCCGGATATGAGCGTCATTTTAGGGAGATGAAATGGTTCAATTCAATGGCACGGGAGACGAACATGCAGGAACTATACACATGGTGGGGTGGGGGATATCATCACTTCATCCTAGAATACGCACCTATGATTGCCTCCTAATACCTTGCTTTATGAATGTTCTTATTACACGATATGCATAACCGAACCTCAAGCTATCACATTCGTACATCATAAGCACCGACTTCCATATTGCATCATACTACTGTATAACACGACGTAGACCAGCAATCCCACCCCAACCAGTAATCAAGCAAGGGTGCGAATTCACAAACAATCACTCGCCAATTCCAGGCCGCAAGTTCTTTTAATCGACCCATGTCTATAACGCACTTACCCCAGACGGTCATCACCCCAATTATCCCACTCTCTAGAGTAGGTAAAACATGCACTTGTGCTAGTACATACACAATCCGGACCGCAATGATAATACGATGCTCCCTCACAAAACAGCACAATATCTGCAATGAACCCCGCCGCAAAGCCTCTCCGTAACTCGAAGTCCGCACGGGCCACATGGGTTCAGGAACCATGGTAACCGTGAGTACTCGAGTACCATACTCGGGGGTGTACTAGTACGTTAGTGATGGGATGGACAGGGGTTTGAGGTCCCCGTGCTCGTTACTGTACTCGTAAGAGGCAAGAAATGATTTAATTTGCTAGGTCCAATACCAGAGAGGGCAAAAAGCTTTGACATCTCCAACCCCGGTCCATCCCATCATTTACCTACACCCCCGAGTATGGTTGAAGTGGGGGCCTAACTCGTAGTAGCGAGCAATCGGCAATGTGTGGGGATGCCCGCCGTACCCATAAGTCGGTGTGGTACTGTACTGTATCGGTAGGGGTGGTCAAAGATTGGGTCGTGTTCGGGAATACTGTGGGGGGGTAAGCGCGATCACTTCTTTGCAGTAAGGATGGTGGTACCGGTATATCGGTATTGTAGTTTTATAGGAACGACTTGTTCGCTTTTTTTTTTCACCACTTCGGTGCGGCTTTGCTCTTGCGACGAGGTATGATACTGCACTGTACGTTAGGCGACCAACGATGAGTTATCATATGTCCTAGAAGTAGTGTACTGTATACATGCATTTATTTGTCCTCTCCTTTCAAGTGATAATTCAATCCTATCTTCCTCCTCCTCTTCCCCCCTCACTTAAAGTATCATATTGCAAAAGAGAAAACACCTGAATCCAACCCCACAAACACTCCCTCCCCAAAAGAGACAGGAAAACACAAAGGCCAAATGAGGGTATGTAATAGAAAATAAAATAATATGTAAAAAAAGAAAGGAAAAAGAAAGGAAAAGAAAAGGAAGTAACCCTTCGCTGAGAAACCCGGTGAAGAGAAGGTATACAAAAAGACATTTTACAGGAGACAAAATGACTACCAGCGTCCGCTTGTCCCGGTCCTAGCCCCGTTCGAGAAAAGAAAGGTTTTAGGAAGGGTAGGTAGGTAGAGCGGAGGCGCGGCGGTCAATGGCCAGACTAGAATGAAGGAAGACGGGAAAGGTAAGAATTGGAACATTGCGTGAATGACCCAAGATTCCTTCTCCGCCCAAAAATGCAGGCTTCCAAGTGCGAAGAAAAAGACAAAGCAACGCATCCCCCCCCTCAAGCCCCGGACAAACTCCTCGATCCGGCAGTTTCCAGGTGAGAGGGGAGAGAAAGAGCCAGGCCAGGCCGGTGGATCGGTCGATTGGAGAAAGAGGAGCATATAACTTGTGGATCGATTCGTTACAAAAGCAACACAGCACTCACCAACCCGGATAACACCGCGATAATGACTGTTCCCCAGCTCTTCGCTCCATTCTTTGTGCCAGCGCTCTTGGCCGAGACGAGTGCCGTGGGCTCGTAATCGTTGGGTACAGCGCTATTGCGCGTCCCGTCCCAGCAGTAGTCCTTGAAGCACTTTTGGCACTGCGCTGTCTGTGTCTGTCCCTTGCGCTCCTGCTCACGGTGAACGATGGCGCAACCGACGCAGGCGGGCCAGTTCTCGTCAAAGGAGGCGTTGCCGCGGGTCGCGATATTGTACCCGTTTTCGATCATCAGGTCACGCTCGGACGCTGTGTATGCCATCTGGTTGGTGCTGATGTTGGAATTGAAGGTGTAGGGTGAGTTGGGGATGTAAACTACCAATGGAGGGAACTTGTTCGTGTCTGAGGTGATGTTTCGGCCATCGCAGCCGAAGAATGTTGGGCGGTTGTTAAGGCCGAGGTTGATGAAAGTATTGACGTCTGGGACGGAAGGGAAAAGGGTTCCGTTGCTTTGGGAACCTTTGATCGAACGCTCATATGTAGCGATGAGGGCTGTGCCATTGGGCCAGTTGGATCTCTGCCCATTCTTTCTAACGGTGTCGGCAGAGTTATCCATTGCAAAGATAACATCGACCTTGCGGATTGGTTGGATAAGTGGGTGGAGAGGGATGTTTTGGCCATCCAGGCCACCATCAACAAGTGTCAGATCTCTAGTCTTCGCGGAGGGGTTGATGTCAGGGTTGACAGCGAAGAACGGATTCGGTGAATAGTCTGCAATGTCGTTATCAGCAGCGGAGATTGAGTTCAGGGTAGTCTCGATGAGCTTCCTCAGAACACCGGGCAAGCCGGTGGAGGAAAGTTCAGTAATCAAGACGTTAAACAAGGATGAAGATGTTCCCATCACAAATCCAACATTGTCGAAACCCCGAGCGCATACACCACTCTCATTCGGAACACCGTTGGTGACGTTCGATCCTATATATCCCATGGGGGTAAAGGCATATAGAGTAGGATCGAAGGATCCAAACTCCAAGGGGTTGTACTCGTAGACTGTGGCATTGCTAGAGATGATCGTCTCCCCAGGATTCCTGCCATCCGCAACAATGATGGGGAACGGCATTTCAGCGTTCTTGTACCGATCTGTCTTCGCTATCGAGGAGTAAGTTATTCCCGGACCTCCATCAGTGTAATTGACAAACTGGCGAGAAAGCGCGCGCGACCAGTAGTCGGTCAAACTGACATCAAACCCAGCATTGTCCTTGTCCTGCACTTCCCGGTTAAGGTCGTTGTAGTAGAGAGTAGTGTCCACAATATGCAATGCCCCTTCCGGAGCTAGGATGCTGTTCTCAAAATCCCACACGTTCCCCGCCGCCTGTAACTTGGCGATGGTGGTGAAGTTGTTAATCACCACACTTCCCAACAGCCAACTTCCGCCTGACAAACCCGCAATATATTTCGCACTCTGCAACAGTCCACCAATGTTTCCCACGGCAGTTGACCCCGGAGTTCGACTATCCATCGCTTTGAATTCCCCAGCACCCGACAGCATTGCCCTATAACCTCCGCCGGAGAATGCGATGCCGATAGTGGGCGAATAGCTGCTCATGAACGCCCCTACATCGAAATCCACCATCGACGCACGGTTTAGAAAGTCAATTAAAGCTTTATCCGTTATAGGTTGTCGCTTCTTGAGGAAGTCCTTCTCCCCAGGTGAGATGTCGTTCGCGCTACGGATCAATGAGTCGGACGGGCAGCTCGCTCTCCCAGGAGCATACCCGCCTGTGGGAGAATCCGAGAAAGCGCGTGTAACTAGACCATTGATTTCTGTGAGGGGGGGGATCGGGCCTGGGACAGCTTGTACGCCTATATTTCCAACCGGTTAGCTTAAAGTTTATCGGGTCCAAAGCAGAGCGGTCTATTGAAGTAATACCTGACAGGACCGAAATCGCTGTGAGAAAAACTTGAGAACTTGTCGGCAACCGCATAGTGAAGTTATTCAAGGAAAAAAGGTGCAAGATGAGAAGATTGAGCCAAGAGACGATGTGCCCCCCCCCAACTTTGTGGTAATTCGGGGGCAGAACACGAAGAAGGGGGATATTAATTCTCTCTTATCTCGAGCGTGCCTGGCCGAAATAAGGGAGGCAAAAACGGCGAAGGCTGGCTGGCAGACAGAAAACAACGAACTGTGTCTCAAGTGCGAGAGCCACACGATTAAGTTGGCTGCACAACACAATGTGCAGAAAGGGAAATGGGAAAAAAGAAAAAGGGAAAAAAAGTGCAACGTACCATCGGAAGGAGAGAGCGGGGAGATGGGTAATATATAAATGCCGGCAAAAACAAAAGCCCAACCATGTAGCCACACACGGGCGCTGAGGTGAGGCTAGTGTTCGCAAAAATAGGTGAATAAAGTTTGCGGGAGAGGGGGGGGTACAAGTAGAGAGGGGCCGAGGGCAGAGCACGAGAAGGGAAGGAAGAAGAGGAGGGCGAGGAGGGAGATGAGCTGAGGGCACGGGTCCAGAACTAGTTGTATCATACTGTACAAGTACACAGACACTGCAATATTATCACAAGACTGCCAGCCGTTTATCCGTTCTAGTGCCCATTTACACTACTGGCACATGTATAGTACAGTACAGTACTCATACAAGTAGGTTCTACCTCCGTTGCAACCCTTTCCCATTGCATCGTAGACTAACGAGAGTACGGTACGTACCGGTATGCTACCGATGACCACCCTATGAAGCACCTTTGAGGGGCCAACTGAACCATCCATCAAACATGAAATTATCTTAGGATTTTCAGTGTCATGGCTCACCTTAACCATTGTCTGGGGAGTGAATCCTTGTGCGAGCGTGGAGGGCACTTCAAGTGCTGTGTTACCTGCGCCGTCGTTGCTCCGACCGGGGAGTACGGTACTGTACAGTACCTTAACGTGATTACCGTTCTAGCCCAGACAAGCCATCCATGTTTCGGCGACCCCCCAATACTCGAGTATAATACCGGTACATGTTCGACCTCGCACAAGATCTTGAGTCGCTATCCGCCATCTTGATTCCCCTTCCCCGTCTCTCCCTTAACATGCGTCCTTTATTCTACTCGAACACTCCGGGAGGTCGTCAATCCTGGAGAAAAGAGTTGGCCCCGTATATACTCTGTAGCACTAGTGTATTCACGGTGCCGGGTTCATTTTTTACAAGTACTGTGTTAGGGCACAATACTACCTCTCCACGACACTGCACCCTCTGGCCCCCACTCAAAAAGTACTAAACTACTGTATGATATCATACCGGTAGGATACCTTATTGCTATCCCAAGTTACCCAATCGCCCATTCTGTTACAAGATGCAGAACACAGTGCCGGTAATACTGTTGACCCTTCACCATTCAAATTTTCAACAAACTCATAACCTACCGGTATTCTTCGCTGCGTGTTAAATAGTCCTGCTTCTCGTAAGCTCATGCAGGTATCATATTCAAAATATCCGCTCATTCGAGGCGCAGCCCTCAATGGCATATGAGACAGATCATCCCTGACACGAGCCGTTGGCCCAAGGACTCAGCCTCACCCTTCTTGCAACAACAGATCTTCCCTCAGCAAGCCATTCTACATCCGGTATCGATAGAAGATACACTCGAGTACAAGTACTCGTATTTGTGCAAGAATCTAACTTAGCGTCTAGTTAAAACGACTGTTTCAGGGACGATCCAGTCAGACGGAATACCGGTAGCCTGTTCTGTTCTGGGAAGGAAGAAGGTTAACAGCGTCATGGCTGGATGACCTCATTACACTTGCCACTTCTAAGAGTACGAGTACTGTACAGGTACATCATCACCTTACTCAGATCGAGCTCCGGCTCCATTCACTATTTTGAGTGTCCGAGCATGCCGTACTACGACATTGCTATCAGCTGTCGATGATACAATACCCTTACAAGTACGAACAGAGCCCGCATCATAAAAAAGCCCGAAATGGTGGGGCTCTTAGGCCTTCTCACCTGACGACTCTCGGCAAGCGCGTGGCCTTCAGCCCTTTGGCATATCCGAGATATACCGAGATCGAGCTTCTGCCCACGGAGCTTTTTCAACCCCGCCCAGATCCCATGGTTACGACATTGTGCTAGGTCGTGATTGGTTCAAGTTTGATATGCTCGACCATGCGATGGCCAATAGTCAACTGAAGTGCTTCAAAACACGCAAAACATGCTGCCTCGGTTCGATCAAAGTTTAACGATATGGGGAGCTCAACCGCCGAGTACTGTACGTACTAGCGCCGGTGCAGCAACGGAGCGCTAACTTGGAGGAATTCAGCCCCAGGGTTGGAAAACGTTTATGCAAGTTTTCGAGCTCAAGGACTTTGGTACGTGTAACGTCCTTTATTTACACAATCTGGCCGACCCACTCTTTATACCATAAAAATTTCCTAGCTAAACCTATCCGACGCCCGCTAGGCACTCGAAAAACGCTTCATCGACCCTAGAGCTGGATGTATCTAGTACGTACCGGTACCGTGGGAACCGGGCCAAAGATCTCGGGACCAAAATATCAAAATACTTTACCAACTCTGGCCCAGTGGGGAGGGATACTCGGCTCGGTTCTCCGCTCCAATTTGGCTTTTGCGCGTTCGCTAGTATCCGATTCTCACAATATGTCACTCGCCAGGGTAATGGCGAGATTGCAAGTTGGAACTATTTGTATAATACTCCAGCTACCGCCAAGTTAAAAAATAAAATGCTTCGGGCTAGAGCTTTTCCCAGCACAATCTTGTGATATTTTGAGCATAGCATAGTGCTAGTTTCCTTCTCACAGATGGCTGGTTTATCATGAATTTCTGTTACGTTATTCTCATTAGTTAGTCTACAGTGGCTGCGTCCGCAGGGAGTCCGGGAATCTGATGGCTTGCATAAAAGCGCACCACACGCTGACAGTTTTGAGAGGTAGTATTCCAGCAAGGAGAGCACCGTATCGTGGACTCAAAGGCTGAACTTAGTTGTCAGCTCCTGTGAAGTATCCCCTCCAATGGTTTTTATCCACGAAGCTAGAGACTCGTGTTGGCAAAATTCGTTTGATACACCTACATATTTGCGGTCTGAAGTTGACAGGAGCTTACGACATTGGTAATGCTAAAGCCCGAGTCGGACAAAAGTTGATGCTTGCTTGCTTTACATTGCTAGAAGCACTTCAACCGGCAATTTGATGTTAGCCCCGTAGCACGTTTTTCTCTATTCAATCTTGGCGGAAGGTTCCGAGATCTGTCCAGACAGCTGTGGGCCTGTAGTGGCCCTGCGATTTCATAGTACCGTAGGCGTTCTTCCAGGCTTTTGTGGTGACGGATTTGTAAATGGCATGCTGGATTGTTTGCACAGAACCCGGAACCATGTTCACTTGCCCCCACGGCCTGCCAAGAGTGAGATATCGGTAGTGTGCTCAAAGATGGCTTAACTTATTGTGATAAAGCATTTTGGGTCCGCCGGTAAACCTTCCTTTTTGCTGAAAACTTCCGATTCACCAAAGGGAAGTGAATTAAGGCCCGCCCTTGGCATGCCAGCACTATTTGTCCAGTAGCCAATGAGACTAGAGCCAAAGGAAATGATAACTGCTATCATCTACCGGTATTCGAGTACTGTACTGTACTCGTGGCGAGATTGAATCGTGAAACAGGAGATGCGAGCACTTTGCCTAGGAATGTTCAACTATCGTGACGACCATAACCATAATACAGTACAGAGATTTGTATTTTTATGGGTTCCCCCTTTGCTTGGGAGTACGAGCTCTGTTAATAGAATCTGAAGCTAATTGACGCCCGGGCAAATTTTGTCTTAAGTTAGAAGTTTTCTACGGGCAAAAGTGGGATAAACCGCGGAAGCTAAAATCTATTGTGACATTGTGACACTAGTCTTCCCCAAGCCTGTTTTTAGCCAATACCCGATGCCCCGGATGATGAACCACACACCGGTACAGCGCAGTAATGTTAGCTGAGGATTAATTTACCCACCGGTATTAGCAGAGGCATGTGTTTATCTCATTCTCAAACTCGCACTACAGGGAGCTGATGCCTTCTATATTTATGAACATCGCCTGATAGGCCATTGGTGATGCCTGCTGGTGTGCTCGGGCACTGAGTGAGTGGCGTCAGAGGTTTGGCCTGGATCAGATTGGCTTTGTTAGGAGCTATGAGCAAAGTTGATCTGGGGGTGATTAATTGACATAGCAAGAATAAATGGGTGGAGAGCACAACAGTACGGTAGATACCATTCCACCTATTGTGCTTCTCAGCCAAGATTTGCCTTCCCCATTTGTACGAATAGTGAATATTGGTAAGTTTTTTCCGCGGAAGGAATAGTGCATGAGTAGTGCACGGCCCGCAGGGGTCTAACTATCTGGGGAATTGTAGATATGTATAAGTACGAAGCTGCCGGTTTATCATAAACTTTGAACCCGATGTACAAGTACCACGACCTACACTGTGAGCACCTGGAACAATGAGCACTGGCTTGCAAGTTTCTTTAAACTATGGTAGAACACGATGGTGGCTCCTTTAGTTGAATTGGAAAGGCTCTTTCATAGATTGAATTTGATGATCTTGAGCTTTCTTGCCACCAATTTAAGCAAACTTAATAGTTTCCAATATCACCGTAGCTGCACACTAGTTGCACACTAGTTGCCCACTACCAATACACTGCTCGAGTAGTTGCACACTGCTAATGCGCCGCTCGAGTATACCCGGGTACCTCATTGGTGGGAAAGAGCTGGCCCGCGCTCGCTACTACAAATGGGAAAGGCAAATCTCGGCTGAGAAGCATGAGCAGCTTGGGTAGTCTAATCTAGCGTTGAAACTAGAATCCGCTTTGATAACCCCGCTTTTGAGGTATCATACTGAATACACAAGAACCAGTTTGTTCTGATATACGAGCAGCCCCTCGCGTGCACCGCTGTGTTATTGTCGTTGAGAGAAGGGAACCGTTTTAATGTTCTAGTAGTTCCCTCTTCAACGTTCCCTTACGGTACCCAAGCACTTTGGAGGCAGTTCAGTCTGCTGGTTAACATGGTAGAGGTACAAGTAACCCATACAAAAAATTGTGCCTCTCGAGCCAGCCGAGTTTAATAGGTCTCAATGAAAATTTGGAATAAAATTTTAATGTCTTCCTCTACAGTATCTCGGAAACAGGGTGATTCTCAATACTTGTATTTTCACTGATCACTTGAAACATCACACCTGCAAAGATAGCGATTCCCATGTGCAAATCCCATTGCAAAACTAGGAAGTAATTACGTAATAATGTAATTGTTGCCTGGGGAAACCATTCTGGTGTAACATATTTGAGTTTTATATCATATTTTCCCATGACCCCGCTACTCGAAGAGTGTTTAGACCCCTTCACACCTACAGTATTGCCAGGTACCCCTTGGTACTCAGA